GAACATTGTTGAAATGACAACAATGGAGTTAGAATATTACATAAACTTAGTTGATAAAGCAACAGCAGGATTTGAGAGGACTGACTCCAATTTTGAAAGAAGTTAAATGCTACCAAACACCGTCACAGAGAAATCTCTCATGAAAGGAAGAGTTGATTGATGTGGCAAAGTTCAGCGCTGAAGAAATTTTAAGAAACTGCCACAGGCACCCCAACCTTCAGCAACCACCACACTGATCAGTCAGCAACACCAAGGCAAGACCTTCCTCCAGCAAGAAGGTTACATCTCACTGAAGGCTCATAATTAGCAATTTTTTTTTATAGCAATAAAGCATGTTTTAATTAAGGTTTGTACACTGTTTTATTAAACATAATGCTACTGCATACTTCACAGACCAAAGTACAGTGTAAACATAACTTTCATATGCACTGGGAACCAAAAGGTCGGTGTGACTCATTGTTCAATATTTGCTTTATTGAGGTGGTATTAGTCTAACACACATGTAATTGGAGTCCCAGAGAAAGGAGATGAGCAGAAAAACATTTGAGAAAATCATGGCTTAAAAATTTCCAAATTTAATAAATATTTCTAAAATTCAATAAAATAGATCCAAGTAGCTTGGTAAAAGTCATTGCAGTCAGCCTCAAGTATAGTTTCTAATCGATCTAAGCCTGTTAGTACAACATCTGGTGCTAGTGAATTACATAAGGACAGGAAAGGAGTGAGGAAAAGGATGTTGCGACCTGATATACTATCCTACAAATTAAATGATGGAAATGTTTTTAAAAAACTTAGGTGGACTGCACTCCAGAGTAAGAGGCCCTGACTGTATTTTCTTAATGGGCTCCATGTTAGACTCTGTACCATAGAATGTGGAAGCAAAGAGTTCTGGTCTGTCATTGTTTATGCTAATGTTTGGTGGGCATGGTGCAGAATGGGAACAGACTAAGAAGAAGAAACACGTTATAAAGACTTTCATTTAGTACAAATAAGTACTTAATCTGAAGGTGTTCTTATAGTGGACATTCATACTTATTTATAAAATCTTAGAAAATCCCCTACTCCAATACTTGTGAGAATAATATAACACATACTTTAAAAGAAACTTTAGAGGTATTTGAATTTATATGAGGGTACTTCAAAAAGTTCATGAAAAGATTCATATTATCTTCTAATTCTATTTTTCCATGAACTTTCTGAAGTACTCTCAGATAAGGTAATGTATTTCTATCACCCCATGTGGATTTCTTACATCAGAAAGGTCTACCAACTATAGAAATTATCTTTGTTGCACATTTCTTCTCAAAGAAGTTCTCCTAAACTTTTTTCTGTGGCATTTTTTAAAACTTCAACTACAGAAAAAATAAAACTAGACTTTAACTAAATATGCTGAATTAACACTGACCTGTGCCCAATGACTTATTAAAAACATAAATGGCATTTCTTTAATGTAAAGTGTATTTTAATTATTTAAGTGTAATTACTGGGTAGTTACTTAATAAGCACCAGAGATGCTGGTTGATAATACTTAGCACCAGTAACAACACTAAATATGGAATTTACCAAAAGAAGAAGGTCTTAAATTACAGGAGTACAAATTTAAAAGACCAGGTGGGAGTGAAGGGAGATACTTACTGTCATCTCGGCCAGACTGAAAGCTGCTGCCCCTCTTCAGTGACGCTGTCTGACCAAGATGGCCCAACACTGAGAGACGTGCATCATTGTCAAGGTCTAGCATGGGACTGTGCAGGCCTGGGTTACCTGGAAGACAGAGAGGCATTTCCACATATTCCACGTATTCCACGTATTCTTATTTAGTTGACTGAATGAACTGCTTCTCTGAGGCTGTTTCTCAATTGTTCCACTCTTTTAAATAAAGCATTTACAAAGTAAAATCAAAAATATTTTCTCAAAACAGCCTTTGAAAGTTGTTCTTACTATGACAGATATGGAGGATTCAACCCATTATTTTGGTTTGCTATAGAGTCAACCATGGTTTGTAGCAAACCATGCGGTGGAACTGTGCATCATTTTAGAATGCATGTTCAGCAAAACTGGAGGGGGTACCATGAACACAAAAATGAAGACAAGCCATTTTCTGCAAAACAACTGGTTGGTGCTAGGAAAAGAAGTCATAGAGTTCTGACTCTTCTCTTTCTTTTAAAGGAGTAGATTTTTGACAAATTATTAAAGCATAAATCTTCTCTGACTTCTCCCTTAACATCGCACTTTACATTTAAATCCCCAATCCCATCAGTGCTTTCTTTGGGATGGGGGATTTTACTCCCTTATTTCTACTCCTGATGGAAGCCACCTAGTCTGAACCCTTCTCACCTCGCGCTGTTAATATTTCAGAAGAAATTCTCTTTATTGACCTGGATAAATCTCACACTAAAATACTGCCTTCTTCTCATCAGCCTTCCAGAAAACCCTCAGCATAAATTATACACCATGTTTTCCAACCCAAAGTAAGCTGAGAATCAGGAAACAACGTTTCTAAAGTGGATCTCAAGCACCACGTTGATAAAGGAGCTCCTAAGGATGCTGGCTTCAGTGGAAAGACTTGCCTCGGCAGTCTGTGAAGATGAGCATTCAAACATCTCCAAAATAAACTGAATTCAGTGAACATTTACAGAGTATTTATAACACCATACAGAGGACACTTAAATGTTCTCCCAACAAAATGTACCTTACATTTTCTTGCCTTATCTGCTAACCTCCCACCTGAAAGGCCTCAGTCACCTTTCCTCTTCATCTATTGAACTGCTCATCCTTAAACATACAACTTGAATTATAGCTATTGCACAGAGTCACCTCTTATTGTTCCAGCTAAGAGTGTTAATCTGTGTTCTCTGCCCTGTCGTAACAGTTAGAATGTACACATGCAGTTGACTTGACATTCTACCTTCTGCTGTTCATTAACAGTTACATGTTGCCTGTTTCCAAAACAGACCACTATCTTCTTGGGGATAACGACTAGATATTATATCTCCATACTCCCCACAGTCACTTGACCTTGCACAAATAACTCCCTCAATATATGAGTGATGGGTGCTAAATTATTCACTAACAAAAATTCACTAAGATCTGTGTTCCTTATTTTACTTTTATTTACTTATTTATTTTTTCTTAGTGGCTGGCCTGTATGGGAAACTGAACCCTTGACCTTGGTGTTACAAGGCCAAACTCTAACCAACTGAGCTACCAGGCCAGCCCATATTCCTTATTTCATAAAAACAATTTTTTTTTTTTTTTTGTCTTTTGTCTTTTTCCATGTCCGGCAACGGATCGCAACCCTCAGTGTTGCCCCCATACCGGACCGGGGACCGGCAACGGGATCGCAACCCTCGGCGTTGCCCCCGTGCCTCGCTCAGCCAGTGAGCGGGAACCGGTCTGCATGTGGGATCCGAACCCTCGGGCGGGAGCGCTGCCGCGCTTCCCAAGTGGCGCACTATCCAGTGCGCCACCGGGCCGGCCCATAAAAACAATTTTTAAGGCTTATGGATTTGTTTTCAAGTGCTAAGTAAGATAAAACACTTAAAACTAAAATAATAATTTCATGCCACTGATAATGGTAGCTACTCAACAGCATTTAACAAGTATTTATTGAGCACCTTCTCCGTGCCAGGAACCATAGGCCCTGGGGATAAGGTGATGAATACAACAGATAAGCCCTGCTATCAAGGTATTTACATTCTGGTGGTGGAGGTAGAAAATAAACCAGTAAATAAATAAACAATAAAAATAAGCAAAAAAGGGGCCGGCCCGGTGGCACTCCCGCCGAGGGTTCGGATCCCACATACAGACCGGCCACTCACTGGCTGAGCGAGGGGCGGGCGCAACACCAAGGGTTCAGATCCCGGTCCGGTACGGGCGCGACACTGAGGGTTGCGATCTGTTGCCGGACACGGAAAAAGACAAAAAGGAAAAAAAAAAAAAAAAAAGCAAAAAGGGCTATGGAGAGAGATGAAAGGAGTGACAGAACAGAGTGACTGATCTGAGGGACCCTGCTACCATGGGCTACCTCGCATGATACAACATCAAGCTATCTCCTTGGAGCCTCACAAGTTCCACATGGTAGGTTTTAGAGAAATAGAAATTAAATCATTTGAACAGATTTTTTAGTGGAATACAATTTTTTGAAGACCTACTATGTTTTATGCTAAATGCTGTACATGCATTTCTTCTTTGGAAAATATTACATCCAAGATAAGAAGATTTGTCTAATCCAATGTGTTTATAACAAAAAATAAGTGATATGTGATAATACAAAGTAAAAAAATATATATAAACAGTGAAGAAATAATATTTTGTAATTGACATTTTTTTATATGAAAGAAGTTTATGAGTAGAAGTTTTAATGATTTAAGGCATTTTCTTTTTAAGTTTATATAGTTGTCTCTGCTATTAATAGGAAATTAGTATCAAAATAGGAATTTTCTGACATACTTAAAAGGAAACATAAAAAGACCCAAACTTTGCATCGCATTAAAAATATATATAAAAAATTATAATTTATATTAAAAAGTATATTTAAAAAGTACAAAAAGAGAATTCCTTAATTTAAAATGTTATATGTTACTCTTTAAGGTTTCAAGACTATAAATTTATGACTGAGA